TAAAATTCAATATAATATTCAATGAAAGGCTACCTTTCCGTAGACCACAGCGTGCTCTCCATGTATGATAACTTTGCCGGGAGTGCGACATCTGATCACCTCTTCTTCGCTCATTGTCTGCACACAACTGAGTGAACAGATTATCAAATTATAGTCAAATGGTATATAACTCTATAGTAATGCTATTCTCAACAAATGAAAAATATTTTGTGCGTTAACTTCAAAACTTTAAATGCAAACCATTAATGTTTAAACAAAAATAATTATATGTAATCCAATCGTTGTTTGAAATTCACAATTCCTATGAAAATTCATACATTATAACAGGTTTTCTAAGGAAAACATATTTGTCATAATTTTTTACAACTAATCTATTAGTTAATAATAATTGAGTATAACTTATGTTTAGTTACGGTTAGGAAGTCGTCTATTTATAAATAGTTTATAAATTATTTATAGTTAAAGTTCTAAAAAAAGATCTTGATAGTTTTACAAGTGTGTAGGCATTTATTTGCAACCCATTTAATACTGTATTTGTTTAGTAATTGTGAGACTATGTTATTATGAGTGACAATATCTGCAACCATTACCTCAATTATATGACAACTAATGTGTTAATTACGGTTTAGCTTACGATTTGTAAATTGCATTTGCATTGCACTCACATTACGTTAATGCTCTGTCGATGTGTTTACCTGTGCTGTGCATACATAGCAAAGCCCCCTCTCGTGAGCGACAATCAAGTGTTACATATTATTAGAGTTGCTTAATTCCCAGACAATATAATATTCCCCAAATTATAATCGTGGTCATATTTAATTTCAACTAAAATAATAATATATGGCACATAATTCTAAATGACCATGGTTACTTGTGGTAGAATAGCAACTATGCACTCAAAGCTAGATGTAACAATTGAGTATAGATTCCCTTTAAAAGTTGCCCATTTGCGGGAATGTGTAAACAATAGAAATACAGTCAAACCCTATATGTTATGTGAAATGCTTTCATATGATTAAGTCATACAACGAGTGAAACACACGCTATAAGAGACGTGACATCAGTTTGTTTGCCAACACATCCATACGTGTGAAGACAGTTGAAGACATGTCACACCAGAAGAAGGCGCCCAAAGAGGAGGGCAAATACATAGACCTTCCCGGGGCTGTGAGGGGACAAGTGATTGTCCGCTTCCCGCCGGAGGCCAGCGGTTACCTCCATATCGGTCACGCGAAGGCAGCCCTCCTTAACCAACACTACCAGAAGGCATACGACGGACAACTGATCCTTCGTTTCGATGACACCAATCCGGACAAAGAGAAGGAGGACTTCGAGAAGGTATGCCATTCATTGAGTGACACACTATTGTTGTCATCACACACTCCTCGCTTCTGTTACTGACCCGCAGGTGATCCTCGAAGACGTGAAAATGCTTGAAATCAAACACGACATCTTCAGCTACACTTCGCAACACTTCCCGCGTATTCTCGACGAGTGCGAGAAGTTGTTGTCGTCCGGACGCGCGTACGTCGACGACACGGCACCCGATGTGATGAAAACGGAGCGCGAGAACAGAACGGAGTCGAAGAACCGGAACAACACTCCCGAGAAGAACCTTCAGATGTGGGAAGAGATGAAGAGGGGAACCGATTTCGGGCAGAAGTGTTGCGTTCGGGCGAAGATAGACATGGCCTCAGACAACGGGTGTCTTCGCGATCCGGCGATGTATAGGTGTAAGAATCAGCCGCACCCGCAGACCGGCACCAAATACCGAGTGTACCCGACGTACGACTTCGCGTGTCCTATAGTGGACAGCATTGAAGGCGTGACCCACGCGTTGCGGACGAGTGAATACCTGGACAGAGACGCGCAGTTCTATTGGTTCATCGAAGCCATGGGTCTCCGGAAGCCAACCATTTGGGCGTACAGTCGGCTCAATATGACGAATACAGTGCTCTCCAAACGAAAGCTCACGTATTTCGTGGACGAGGGTATTGTCGACGGCTGGGACGACGCCCGCATGCCTACAGTGCGCGGTGTCCTCCGTCGCGGCCTCACTGTCGAGGGACTCAAGCAATTCATTGTGGCTCAGGGCTCGTCCCGTTCGGTCGTATTCATGGAATGGGATAAGATTTGGGCCTATAATAAGAAAGTGATTGATCCGATCGCTCCGAGATATTCGGCCATTGAAAAGGCCGACTCTGTTGTCGTTGATATAAGCGACGCGACGGACGGCAGTCTGGAAGTGGCTCTCCATCCGAAGAACGCCGAACTCGGCAAACGT